TTTCCCTCCTGGTGTTAATGCTTGACTAAGGCCAGGTCAGTTTAGTTGTAATCCCTTGCTGCCTCCTTCTTGGAGGCTGGTGGGATGGAAAATGCTGGTAGCGTGGCAATGAGGACCCAAGCAAGGCCTATAGGTGGATGGGTGCCCATTTGCTGGTTCTGGCTCATGCAGTTTGAGCATATTCTCCTCACTTACAATCATTGCCAATAGTTATTACCCACACTGGCAGTGAGACAGCAGAGCCTGGCCATGCTGCTGGGGGTGATTAGGGCAGACTTGGTACCTGAGCAGCTGCAAAAGGACCATGACGTCTGACACAGAATCTGTATGCCCACTCCTAGCAAAGTTCTCGGTACAGAACGGTTCTAATAAACATTATGTGAATGGGTGTGTGGCAGAATGCAGCACATGGTGATGAGCACGCAGTCTTTGAGCACATCAGAACTGGACAAGGGATCCCAGTATATCAGTGACCTTAAATCAGAGGAAAGACAACTGTGTGAGGGGCAGCTGTTCCACATATCTGACACCTGACACTTAATCTTTACTCCAAGTAGACCAGATTTGCTTGAAACTTCTCAATATGATAGTGGTTTACAGAAAGAATGTCATGCCCTAAAAATTTTAGTCATTTAAAGAGCAAAATAAAACAAGGAAAAAAAAAACCACTTCTTTAAGAAACACAAATTTTTACTAAAAAGTTTCCCATACTTTTCAAATATTCACTCTAGAAGTAGAGGAGGTGGGGGAACCCTCAGAGTATTAAGGAACTTTCATATTATACAAAGTCTCCCAAAGAAGTAGAGTGAGTTTACTGAGAAGTGAGCTCAAAACAGCGAGCTCTGACTCACGAGGGGATCCACTAAGAAGGCATCAAGTTCTACAGATGTGCTTTGACCAAAGTCACTTACATCAGGAAACCACAAATATAGGAAACTTTCTTGAAAACTTTATTCCTCGTGACAGCCACATTTCTGACTTTTCCCCTCATTATCTAACCACCCAACAATTTCTATATCAACAAATACTATCCATCTATGTTTCCATCCAGTAATTGCTCACTGAGTGTCTGTTCGTGCTAGGTATTTTGCAAAACAAGACACAATCTCCACACACTCAAGCTTACCCTGTCACATGAGAGCTTTATGTAGAGATGATTTCCCTGCAAGCTTGAGACTACCTACTGAAACAGGTTAACCTACCAATGTGAGAACCTGTAGCTTCTACCATCGTTATTCTGTACTGATTGTTGTAAGATCCTCCTGGATTTTCCTGAGTTTTATTCCTTAATCCGGCTGGTTCATTTTTGCAAGCATGCCCGAGAGGGATGACATCGGCAATAATCCCTCTCTTAAATTTAATTTAGACTACTAAATAAAAAAGTAGGCCTGAGTCAGAATTCCCCATGAAAGCAAAGGTGATGATGGGAGCACAAAAGAGCCAAGACGATCTATTTAACAGTGTCCAATTGTTTCCAATAATTTAGCTCTCAGTCCCATGGATAAATGTTACAAACAACTCCCTAACCACAGAGCAGGAACTTATGTGAGCACATTTGGAACTAGGATTGTTTAAAAGGGGAAACAAATAACAAACCACTGCTGGCCTTCACATGGCAATAATTTACCAGCATACCTTCAAGTTCCAGCAGCTTTGCAGCTCTCGGCCTTTAATCTAGAAGCCAAACTCTGGCTCAGAGCCACCCCTCTAATGGATGAATCAGCAAAATGAATTGGCTGTCAGCTGTGTCCTCCAGTGATTCCAGCTCGCCTGTCAGAAGCAGCATGTGGCCGGCTGCTTGGCAACACAAACCTTTTCCAAATTTGTCAGGGAAATGATTCAAGGCCATCTTTCGGTTGTGCCACTTGGTCAAAGCCACTAGGGAACCAAATACTCTGAGAGTCCTCCCTGTTTCCTTGTAGGTAGTGAGAGGAGTCCTCCCACATAATAGTCTCATCCACTCGCGGCTTCACTTTGCCTCTGCTGTCTCTTGACACTCTGCACACATTATAGCTTTTAATCTTCACAACAACCCCATAAGGAAAGAATGTTCTAGTCATCATAGAGATAAAGTGACAGAATCAGGGAAGCTAAGCAGCTTGCCTAAAGTCTTGGAGGTGAGCAACAAAGCTGGTTTGGAACCAAGACGGGTTTTGTTTTTTTAATGTAATATTGCCACAGGTCTGCGTGTATTTGTGTGTACTTATATGCTTATTTAGACTGATAATTATCTTATAAAATGTTTCCTTTACTAGTTTTAAAGAACTACTTAAAATATTTAGATTGTTTTATGAAAATTAAGAACTTTCCATTATCGTCAAACTAAGTCTCTCCAACTAAATTGATAGATACATTACGTTTAAGGACAAGAAGCCTTAAAGTAAGATGTAGAGTCCTCCCTAAATTTATCTATAGATTGCATGTAACTCCAGTAAAAACAAAATTCTAGCATTTTAATAAAACACTGAAAAAAATTTTAAATGAAATGAAAAACAAACCTGAACAGAAAACAGAGCCATGGTAGCCAGGGGCAGGGGGAGGAGGCCAACCACAAAGCGGATGAGGGGAGTTGGGGGTGATGGAACTGTCCTATATCTTGAGTGTGGTGGCAGTTACGTGGTTGTGTCCATTTGCTGAAATAGAACTGTATAGCAAAGAGAGTAAGTTAACTATATATAAATTATACCTCAGTTATTCTGTGGAATTAGAAAGGTTGATCCCGAAATTTAAATGGAAGAACAAATGGGCCAACAATAGCCCCGACATTTATGAGGAAGAGAAAAGAAGCGGGGCTTGCCTTGCTAGCCAAACGAGCATAGTGTAAAGTTAGAGTAATTAAGACAGTGTGAGGTGGTCCAGAGGCAAACTGATCACTGATAGAGAGGAGCCTAGAAACAGACTTATGCATCTGTCAAAGTTTGATTTTGGACAAAGACATAGTGACAGAGAACATGGAAAAGGAAAAGTTGAAAAAATTGTTTATCCATAGGAAAAAAAATGAAATTGGATTCTGACTCACACCTTTGCTGAAAAATCAACTCCACATGGATAAAGAACTTAAATGTCAAAAGTAAACTTCAAAAACTTGAAAAGAAAATACAAGTAAATATTGTTCTAAGCTTGACGTAGGAAAGAATTTATGAAGACACAAAAAATGCTAATAAGCATAAAAAAAGATCAATACATTTGGCAACATTAATATTAAAACTTCTGTCCATCAGAAGACATCTTAAAGAGAGTGAAGACAATCTACAAACTGAGAGTAGATATTTGTTCACACACGCAACAGATGGAGATTGAGTACCAGAACACATAAAAACACCTACAAGAAAACACCCTATAGAAAAATGGAGAAAAGACATGAAAAGCATACATAGTCATTTCACAGACAAGGAAGCATAAAATGCCGATAATTACACGAAGAGATGCTCAGCCTTAGGCAAAGGCGAATTACAAGCACTAAGATAACATTTTGTAGATTTGTAGAGAGGGAGAGAAAAAACAGGGAGGAGGAAGGGGAGCAATAGAGATGGGGGTGAAGAAAAAAAGGGAAAGAGGATATAAAAACAAAAACAAAAACAAGAAAACCATCAGCACGACTCTCATAAGAGTGGCTGTCCCGGCTAGGAATGGAGGTAAGGGGTGGGGTCACGAGGATGGGGTTGAGAAAGAACAGGTAGATGCAATTTATTAGCGTATCTCAGTTCTTGGGCTGAGTGGTGGTTTCACAGATGTTCATTCCATTTTAAGCAAACAAATTGTTTAGGTTCTCTGTTGTTCACCCTGTCCAACTAAGGACCATTTTCAACACAGCCTGTCCAAGTATGAAAGTCTCTGTAAGACCAGGTAAAGGTGACTTCCATTTTTAATGTCTTCAGTGCTATGGAGGTGCCTCTGGATGGTCCACGTAGTGTACGCAAGCACCGTTGCTGAAATGCTTGGCTTCGCCAATCTTCCCTAGGTAGCTAAAGACACTGAACAGCTTGGTTATCACACTGCTAAAACCCATTTATTGCAGCAACTGCTGGGAGTGGGGTGGGGGAGCACTGGGAAACTGCTGAGGCAGTTATGCACCATCAGCCCTGCATTTTCTGCAATGGCTATCCTCCACCAACATCAAGTTCTCAATTTCTAAGGGAATTACCTATGTTTTTATTAATCTAATGTTTACAAGAAAGAGAAGTATTTATTGG